AACTCGACATCGTCAATGAATACTGTCTAGGTTCCGGCGCGAAGCTCAACTTGTCCAAGTCGGTACTCTTGGCGCTTAATCGGAACCAAGACTGCCCCATGCTTTCTGGTGTTCAAGTGCTCAAGCGCACGGAGACAGTCAAGTATCACGGTATTCCGTTCGGACAGGCTTCGGTCGGCGACGCGATCATTGAGTTTCTCGACCAACGCTTCTGTGATGGCTTCAAATCGTGGTATCGACGCGCGCGCACGCTCCGTGGTCGACTTCTGATAGCACAGACGATGATACTCTCTCGTCTATGGCACTACACGCAGCATGTATCGATACCGGCACTGATCGTAAAGCGGTGGCAGTCGATGCCGAATCGATTCGTGCTCAGTCGAAAGCACGACCGAGACGCGTCGCACATACAGCTGATCCCGAATGAGTTCGTGCATCAGCGGCGTAGTGACGGCGGACTCGGCGTCCCAAGTCTAGACGAGCACCTCAAGCGGCAGCGCCTCATACTGCTACCGCAGTTCATGCGTGCGGCGAGTAACGCAAGAGTGCGGAACTGGACGACGGCGAGCACTGAGCTGCTCAAACTGGTTCTTCTTCGCACTGGGCGATGCAACGTGCTCGACTTTCTCATGATCTCGCCGCTTCGCCATGGCGACTTGCTCAAGTGGAGTCTGACGTCGAAATGGTGGCGAGCAACTTGGGTCGGATGGTACAAGACACACTGGGAGGTCACGTGGCATGACCTTTCACTGGACGAGCGAGCAGCGTACGGTCTCCGACAGCCGATTTGGTTTCACTCGGACGCCAAACTGCACTTCGAGCAGACTCCACGGATACACACCAGTACAACACACCGCCGATGCATTAGCATGGTTCCTGAACCACAACGAAGCTTTAGGCTGCATGTGTCCAGAGTCTTCCGGCTGAGATCGCTTGCAGACTTCATGCTCGAAGCCAGCATATGGCCGATGCAGCAAGATTTGTGGAGCGATACATCGATTACACCCTCACGAGTGTGACAACCGGTCTACAGGCAAAATGGCTGCGGAGGCTGCATATGGAAGCAACACAGATCGTGAATCGGCTTGGCGCGTTGCATTTTGTGCTACCACCGATGAACAGCGATCGAATGCGTCTGCTTCCCCACTTAGGCTGCATACATGGCAAGAAAACGTGCTTGCTTTCGGAGATCCCGCGTTCTACACTATTCAGTGCTGTGTGGACACCCAAGCCACCGATAAAGCCGCATCCAATGACAGTTCACTCGCATCAAGTCGACGAGCCGCAAATCAAGTCGTTTGTCACTTTCGGCAAGCATTTGCGCAAGATCCTGCTTTCTGTCTTCGAAGACTTGCAGTTTCGGCTCGCCTTCCGTCTTCTACCGGTGCGATCGAGGTTCTGATTTCTCGAGACAGCAAACCCACGTATTTGGTACTGTGTCCGCAACGCGTGCGGTGCCATCGAGACCGAACGGCACTGGTTCTTCGACTGCATGCTCCAGTCACAGTTCTGGCGGCAGGTGCTCCAGCTGGTATCACCGTTCTTCGTTGAGCGTCCAACATGGCTCGACATTGCTCTTGCTAAGAAGATGCGCGTACGCGACGACTGGAAAGCTTGCGATGATGTTGTTGGCGATGTGTGGCACGTTCTCCGCGCGGTGACACTTCACTTTCTCTGGTCCGACCGATATCGTTGTCTATTCGACAGCAGATAGCCTACACCAGCGCTCACCGCGATCAAAGTGATCTTCACGACATTCTTCGCACACGTTCGGTACTTCCAATGACACTTACCCAAGGAAAACACAATTGATGATTTCCGCATGGTGCTACAAAAGCTAACGACTCGTCCAGGCCTCGGTGAATTTGTTGAACGCTTTCCAGGTATCACCAAATTGCGATTACCTGAAAGCTCGTAAAATTTTGAGTCGATTGATTTGCAGATCGTCCCTATTTGTGTACTGAACACTATATCGTGAGCTTCACTTAAATGGTGTGTACCACACCATGTACGAGGTTCTGCGAGTTTTTTGGCCTATTTGAGCATTAAGTTTCAAAGGTTTAAAATTGCAGGTATTAAATGTGGGAGGTCTGATTGTCGCTTAAGTGTTGCATGTGGACGAGTGGCTTTTAGCGGCATCGAAGTCTAATTTCCGAATTTTTCTCTTGGCGCAGGTCGATTCGGACTTAAT